GAACATACTTCCTAATTAATGTCGACATATTTTCCTTACCCCTTTCTTTGTCAATTGGCTTTCTGAACATTCGCCAACCCACGCTTATAAAATCGGTCAATATGAGTATCCAGTTACCACCCCAAAGCGAGAAAGAGTGCCTGAATGTTATTGACAAGACGTATACATGTCGTATTGCCGGCAGAATAGTTAGCAAGAGGAGACACTTGTCCGACATGTCCAGGGGGATGATCGGGACGAACAGAAAAGCAGACTGTCCAACCTATGAAGCAAAAAGAAATCAGCGGAACAAACTTTGGTGTCTGGATGAGTTTAAAAAGAACCAACAAACAAGTAAACGAATAAGAAAAAAAGCAACAACAACGACGGTGACGACGAGAACGATGACGGCTTCAACAGCAATAAAAATATTAACAATAAAACAACAACAGCAACAACAACAGTATGCCTGGGCCACTGGGTTCATCTCGACCTGACGGCCAATCAGCAGACATGCTGTAATCATCATCATCATGATCATCATCATGATCATCATCATGATCATCATGATCATCATCATCATCATCATCATCATCACGCTATTTCTGTTCATGAAATAGATTGGAGGCTGTTTCTAATGGTAGGCTTTTTGTCGTTGCACACAAAAGGCGTAGGTTCGATTCCCGCTCGGAAAATTGTAAAGTAGAGTCGAACCTGCTCTAACAGTCCACTGTAAAAAACAGTCTTTTGAACAAACTGTCACTCCCCTCCCCCCCAATCTCCATCCCCACCCCCGCGCCCTTTGAGTATTTTTTTATATATTACCATGACACTATGTAAAACGCCCACCTGTCTAAGACAACCACTTTTCTCCTCTAACCACACGGGTGTCCACCCCTCTTATAGTTTCACACGCTGACTCGATCGTGCCAGCCCGCCCGCCCGCCCGCTCGAAGACTTCCAAAGGCCGAAGATTACTCATAATGTACATTGAACAATATGTATGCTTCTGGCTCGCCGGCACCGCTGGATCGGAACAAACAGATCGTGACTGAAGTTCTATGGACGCGGTTGATTTAACAAACCCTGAATAGGGACTTGGGCCCTTGTGCTGGTTCTCATGCACTTGAAACATGTCTTCTCCTCTTTTTTTCTTAAAGCTCAAAGAGGAAAGGGGGGGGGGGGTCGGCTTTTTCTCTTTAAACATTGAATAAGCACTTAACGCTAACGTACTGAAATGTATATTAAGGAAATTGCAAACTGGATTTTTAGAATTACGCAGCTTACTTATCTATCTTTATATATCTTATAACACAAGCGTCCTTTCTTTTTACCTTTGGGTTTTGAAGACATTACTAGATTCAGAAACGGAGGCCTTCAAATAAAGTTGAGCATTTCCTCCCTTGACATGCCGTCGCGTATTTTCGTTTTTGACTGCTCTAACGGCCACCTAATTAAGACAAACGGCCACTTTCCATTTCCTCCCTTTCGTATTTTTAAACGTAATAATGACACTGTGTAAGAAGACCACTTGTCTGGGACGGCCTTTTTTTTCTTTGCACTAGGTGGCTCTCTTTGACAATTACGACTGTATTTATAACACAAGGAGGCTTTCTTTTTGGTAAATTTTTACACATTCACCCACACACAGAAGCACTCATTTGAGGGCTAAACTGTCATAATGTTTGCTGCAGAACACACGTATGGCCACTAAAACCCCTTGAAAATCAATTGTATTCAAGTAAATATCAATCCTTTTGGCCGAAACATCAAATCATATTTAAATGCAAGTGGCATGCCCCCCTAACCCCC